TGTTTGTAGTTCCAGCTAGTTGGAAGGCTGAGGCAGAAGGATTGCCTAAGCCCAGCAGGTTGAGGCTGCAGTGGCCGTGAGTGTGCCACTGCACTCCAACCTGGGCAACAGAGTGAGACTCCAACTCAAAAAAAAAAAAAAAAAAGTTCTAAAAACAGCTGCATATTACAATGTATATAAAAGGAATACCAAATGTTTAAAACTCTGATATATTACAGCTTCAGATCAATTATTTTAAAAGTAACTTTTGTCCACATCTAGGTCTTTTTCTATTACTCTGCTTTTCCCCCAAGGCCCCTGATTTATCATGGAGAGACTGAGTCACATTCTTCAGATTCTGTGTATCACTTGTCCTTGGGATGCTTTTTGATGAACTGTTTATAAGACAAACCTTTCTTTTAGCAAAACTCTGTTATATTATTGTGTTCATAGCTGGCAAGAGGCAGAAAGGAAAGAAAGGCCAAGGGTAGGGAGGAGACCCTCTTAAATAGTTATAATCCTCATAACAAAGCGAGTATGGGGGAATTAACACACTGAGGCATTGTGGAGTGAGTACAGACAGCTGGAAGGCTATTTGGTATGAAAGTCAAAAGTCATAAAGATGTGCTTAGCTTTTGATCCATAAATTCAATTTCTGCATTTTTTCATTTGAGATAATTATGCATGCAAGAAAATATTTAGTTACAAAGATGCTAATGGCAGTATCTTTTATAATAATAAAGAATAGGAAATAACAAATTTTAGGAGATATTTTACAAACTACCTCAACAATGAAATATTTTTCTATCATGAACTATTATACTGTGGCATGTTTAATGACATGGAAAAATATTAACCTATTGTTGAGCAAAAAATGTTACAAGATGGTGTATATATTGTGATTATATAACAACAATAAAAAGAGTGCTAATAAAAATTTAAAAATAAATAAATAAAAGTAATAAAAGTCATTACTCTTCAACAATGTTCTTCTTATTTTAGGAAATGATTCATACAGGAGTATGTCAATGCAGTGAAAGCATTTTGATAAAATTATTATAGTTTATTGAAGTAGGATGTGTTGCATTCCACAGTACTGTAGAGTCACATTCAGAAAATATAAATGCATACTTTATGTAAATGAAACCTTAGGAATTTGAAGGCTGATTTTTAACTTTGGCCCATGTAAGATGTGTATCAACAGGGCATGATAGAGCACAGAATATCTAAATATAATAACACCAATCTCTAAAAAATAAAAGCATGTCCAGGCCATGAAAAAAATTTACCCTGGGGCTTAGATAAGCCTGTGTGAGACTGGCCAGGAATCTGGTGAGATCAGAGAGGAATCACAGGGTTGCACTGCAGACCTTGCAGCTGCAGCTGTACGCCTGACTGAAACTGCACTTTTTTGTTTGTTTTGTTTGTTTTGTTTTGTTTGAGTCGAGGTCTCACTCTATGGCCCAGAGTGGAGTGCAGTGGCACAATCACAGCTCACCACAGCCTCGACCAGCTAGGCTCAGGTGATTTTCCATCTTGGCCTCCAGGTAGCTGGGAGTACAGGTGTGCACCACCACACCTGGCTAATTACTTTTATATTTTGTAGAGGATGACAGGATAACAGTTCACTGTTATGTTGCTATGTTGCCCAGGCTGGTCTCACAACTTCTGGGCTCAAGCGATTCTCCCGCCTCGGCCTCCTGAAGTGCTGGGATTATAGGTGTGAGCCACTGCACACAGCCTTGAAAGGGCACTTTTGCTGATATCTCCTTAGAGGTGTGGATGGCATGAATCTCCGCTATTAATCTCCACTATCAATTTTGCTGCTGTTAAAGCATATGTTTATTAAGACTCCTCAGTTTCACACACCTGTTGTGGGTTCGGGGACAGAGTTCACACGCATGTCCTGCTTCTTTTCTATGTATTTCTGTGACCTTGACGTCTCTCTGAGTCTTCCTATTTTTTCTTTTTTCTTTTGCTCTTATAAAATTGAAAACTGCCACAAGCAATCAGAGTACAAAAGCAAGCAGGAGAAAGGAGGGTATAACCGCTCCATACCGGATACAAAAAAATGTGCCTTTATTTTTCTAACTTCCAGCTTAGCCCTCCCACCAGGATGGAGACGGGGTAGGGAAACACTATCTTAGTCATTATTTAGTGAACAATTCTGCCTCCTTGGGAACCTTGGGTTTATGCAATCCAGGAAAATTGAGGTCCTTGGTATATGTAGCAACTGTAAGATGCTCATCTTCGAAGCCCCTTGGTCATTCCAGAAGATAGTGGCTCTAATTTCCAACTCACTCCCTCTGCCCAAACTCAGCCACCAGGACTGCCACCCAGCGGCCATGCTTCCTGGCCCCTAAACTCAGGCTTAATTTATGCAGCTACTGCCCAGCAGAGATCTGACCACTACCGGGTGTGGCCTGAAAATAGAACTTTCCATCCTTCTGTCTTGTGATCTCGAGGAATCCCACTGCTTTCGGGATTGGGCAATTCTCTTCACCTTTAACCTGGGAGCCTCCCCAACTCGAGTTATCCATGAAAAACCCAAACCGCACCTACCCTATCAGAACACGCCAGCCTATTGGTTGGTAATTGCAGATGACTGAGCCCAACTTCCGACCCACAGAATCAGAAAAAATTGACCTGGGTCCCAGGTATTTGCATTTCACCAAGTACCTCAGTGGATTCCTGTGTATGTTAAAACTTAAGAAATGGGTGAACATTTGTATATCTAACCCTGAATTGTACTCTACATCTTAAAAAAAAAACAAAACAACATTAGGTTACAGCCCTAGACTTTTGAAAAACTAGGTCTTTAAATTCTGCTGCAATTGAAGTCCCAAGCTCCCAGCCAACTCCTGTTCTTGTCTTGAAGAGGGGAAAGAAAAACATTTCTCACTCTTTCCAATGAGCTCACAGCTGAGGAAACAAGACAAAGTTTATTCCTCAACCAGGTTACCCAACACCACAAATTTTGAGTAGAAAATGGTAAAGTGTCAAAGGTCACTGAGGGCCGGGTGCAGTGGCTCACACCTGTAATCCCAACAATTTGGAGGGCCAAGGTGGGAGGATTGCATAAGCCCAGGAGTTTGAAAACAGCCTACGCAACATAATGAGACCTTGTCTCTATAAAAATCAAAAAATTAGCCGGGTGTGGTGGTGCACACCTGGAGTCCCAGCTACTCAGGAGACTGAGGCAGAAGGATTGCCTGAGCCCAGGAGGTTGAGGCTGCAGTGAACTGTTATCCTGTCATTGCACTCCAGCCTGGGCATCAGAGTGAGACCCTGATCCAAAAAAAGTCACTGAGATGAAATGAAACAGGCAAAACATACACACACGAACAAATCCAAGATTATGAGCAGCTTATATTCAAATGGAAGAGATCTTGGCTGCAAAGAGGTTGGTGAAAGCCCCTAAGTTATTATTTTATTTTATTTTAACTTTTAATTTTTTTTATTTTGAAGATGTGGGTTACTATTCAGATTAGGTATACAATGTTCATTATGCAGTTACCCTTGTTGATGAGGTGTGCCCCACGCCTTCCCCAGGCAGTTTCCCACTATTGCCAATCCCAATTCCCCGCCCCCCTAAAGCCCCCTAAATTAAATAGGTCCCCCTACATGGCTGCGTGGCATTCCCCACCAAACTATCCAGATCCTTTGGTTAAGGTTAATAATATAAGAATCAGTTCAAAAGTTTAAATACCAAATTCGCTTTTTTTCTTTTATTTTCCTTTTTTTTTTCAGGTTACTATTTACTTTGCCGATATTTTTAGGAAAGTTTTAAGTAACAATGGGTCACTAACTAGTATATAAATAGTCAATGTTAAGTAACTGTAGTATTGAGGGATTTTTTAAAAAGTAATTTAAATTCATATCTAATTTTAAAACCCACAAACATTGTACGTATCAACTCTAACCTTGATTTAGTGCTGCTAAATGAAATAAAAATAAAAATAATAGCGTAATTTAGTTTCAGGTTGGGCATGCTTGTAATACTAGCATTTTGGGAGGCTGAAGTGGGAGGATGACTTGAGGCCAGGAGATTGAGACCAGCCTGGGTGACATAGCAAGACACTGTCTCTAAAAATTTTTTTTTTTGTAAATTAGCTGGGTGTGGCTGTGTGCATCTGTAATCCTAGCTAGAGGCTGAGGTGGGAGGATCCCTTGAACTTGGGAGTTCAAGGTTACAGTGAGCTATGATTGTACCACTGCTCTCCAGCCCGGGTGAAAAAGCATGACCATTAATCATATATTAATAATGAAGAATTAATTTAGCTTAATCAATTTTACTTTATTAAAGGAAAAACATATATAATCACACACATAACTTGGAAGTCTCAATTATCCAGATTGCTTATAAACTTGAATTTTCCAATAGCTAAGAGAAGTACACAATAAGTGAAGCATGTCCTAATTAACTTCTTTATCTTAATATCTCAGTTTAATTTTGTATCCTCTTCCAAAATGCCTCTGTGCTTTAGGGTAAAAATTCTGGAGAAACTTACCTGGTAAGATGCAGCATATGTGTATGATAGCTTCAAATATTCTGGTCATTGTGTCTCATGCCTATAATCTCAGCACTATGGGAGGCCATGATGGGAGGATTGCTTGAGCCCAAGTTCAAGACCAGCCTGGGTAACACAGCAAGATCTCGTCTCTGCAGGAAAATAAAAAAAAATTAGCCAGGCATGGTGACACACACCCGTAGTCCCAGCTACTTGGGAGGCTGAGGCAGAAGAATCGCCTGAGCTCAGGAGGTTGAGGCTGCAGTGAGCCATGATCTGTGCCACTGTATTCCAGCCTGGGCAACAGAGTGAGACCCTGACTCAAAAATAAAAAACAGAAAGAAAAGAAAAGAAAAGCAGAACTAACTGCCAGTTTCTCTACTACAATTTTGGAGGCATTATTACAACAGGCAAACATTCCATGTGATGTGGTCATTAGTTTCTATTTAATTGCAGTGTTGTCCCCAGAAGTGATAGCTTCTGATAGAGTTGTCTTCTTTTCCTTTGCAGGGAACATTCCAATATCTATCTTCAAAATGGCCCAGATAGAATTGGGAGAACATACAAGAAGGCCCTTTATCTTCAGTACACAGATGAAACCTTTAGGACGACTGTAGAGAAGCCAGCCTGGCTAGGGTTTTTAGGCCCTATTATCAAAGCTGAAACTGGAGATAAAGTTTATGTACACCTAAAAAACTTGGCGTCTAGGCCCTACACTTTTCATTCACATGGAATAACTTACTATAAGGAGCATGAGGGTAAGTTCGGCTCATGTTGGAGCTTTTCGGTAGGACTCCTTTTTAACTTCTAAAAAGTTATAGGCTGTGGCTCACGCCTATAATCCCAACACTTTAGGAGGCCGAGGTGAGAGGACTGCCTGAGTCCACGGGTTTGAGAACAGCCTGGGCAACTTGGTGAGACCTCATCTCCACAATAAATCAAAAAATTAATTGGAAAGGTGAAGCGGGAGGATTGCTTGAGCCCAGGAATTTGAAAACAGACTGGGCAACATAGCAAGACCTCGTTAAATAAAATAAAAAATAAAAAAAACCAGGTGTGGTTGGGCACATCTGTAGTCCCAGCTACTCAGGAAGTTGAAATAGAAAGATCACCTGAGCTCAGGAGGTCAAGGCTGTGGTGAGCCGTGAGCGTGCCACTGCACTCCAGCTTAGGTGACAGAGTGAGACTCCAGCTCAAAAAATAAAATAAAATAATTTGATGGTGCTGGGGATAAGAGTGGGTGGAGTATAGATGAAACAAGACTGGCCTTGAGTTGATCATTGCTAAAAGTTGAGCTGACAGATACATGAAGTTCATTACATTATTTTTTTCAACTTTTGCAAATGTTTGAAAGTTTCCAGAATTAAGAGTAGAAAATGTTTCAATTCCATTGCTACTTCATGGTTAAATATCTGCTATCATAGAAAAGGTTTCAGCTGGGTGTGGTGGTTCAAGCCTGTAATCCCAGCACTTTGGGAGGCCGAGGTGAGGGGATTGCCTGAGCCTGTGGGTTCGAGACCAGCCTGGGCAACTTGGCGAGACCTTATTTCTACAATAAAACAAAAAAATTAGCGGGGCGTGGTAGCGCATGCCTGTAGTTCAGGCTAATTGGAAGGCTGAGGCGGACGGATTGCCTGAGCCCAGCAGGTCAACGCTGGGGTGGCTGTGAGCATGCCACTGCACTCCAGCCTGTGCAACAGAGTGAGACTCCAACTCAAAAAAAAAAAAAAGGAAGAATAAACTTCCCAGTATAGAAGAGGGTAACCATGTTGCTTAGACTTCCATGCCATGACCCCAATGCAAAAGTTGTTTTTTATAATGCAAACAACAAGTCACGATGCTCCCTGAAGACTCTGTCAGGTATTAAAAATAACAAAAATGTCTGTGAGGCTTCTAAACTGTCTAACCACCAGTTTCCCATTTTTCTGTGTCCAAAGAGGACATCACTGCATCCTCAGGGGTCTCATACAGGATGTAGAGTAAATGTGTGTCTCTCATTGAAGTTCAAACACATTCACTTTGTAACTTCAGTGCCTGTTGCTTCCTAGGGGCCATCTACCCTGACAACACCACAGATTTTCAAAAGGCAGACGACAAAGTGTCCCCAGGAGAGCAGTACACGTACCTGTTGCATGCCAGTGAGGAACAAAGTCCTGGTGAGGAGGACAGCAACTGCGTGACTAGGATTTACCATTCCCACATTGATGCTCCAAAAGACATTGCCTCGGGACTCATCGGACCTTTAATACTCTGTAAAAAAGGTGCATTTTCCCATTTATTGCTCACCATAGATGACCAAAAGACAGGAACAGGGCAGTTTGTTTCTTAAAAAATAAGTTATCTTCTGTGTTGAGATTGAGTATGGAAGATAGAGAGGTACTGAGTCTAGAAAAAAGGGAAAGAAAGAACAGGGCGGGACTAGGAGAAGAAGGGATAAATAATGCAAACTTTCATATTGGGGAAACCCAATAAAACTAAGCTGCAAGACATATGTTCTCTCTGGGAGTAGGTTTGCTGTTTCTAATTTCCAACAGTGGCGTTGAAGAGGCATCTAGTTTTACCAAATGTGGCTCCCTTAAATGGCACTCCATTTAAGGATAGATCTGTAGTTATCTGTGTTATGTTAGTTAATATAATACCATTGTTTTATTTCCAGCATCATGAAAAAGGCAGCATAGTTCAAGAGCTTAAAATGTCATTCTTACTTGAACAATAATTACCTGCAAAGACTTGATACCTCAGCCTGTGGCTATATGCACCAGAAGATATAGATACAACCTTGAATTCTAATCTTCTCATTTGCCAAAAAGCATTTATAGTTATGTGGTCAGTGGACATCCAGATATATGAGTGTCTCCCAAGCCCCAGATACTGATAAATTCCCTGAGTGTTTCCACTGTAAAACATGGTCTAGATCTGTGGTTTATTAGGAAAATATAAACCACAATTTTTTTAACGATAAAATCACCTGAAAGCATACATCAAAAATAGATGCTAAAAATTCAGTTCTACTAAAACAAAAACTTCCACTTCAGATTCTCTAGATAAAGAAAAAGAAAAAAATATTGACCAAGAATTTGTAGTGATGTTTTCTGTGGTGGATGAGAATCTCAGCTGGTACCTAGAAGACAACATTAAAACCTACTGCTCTGAACCAGATAAAGTTGACCCAGACGATGAAGACTTCCAGGAGAGTAACAGAATGTATTGTAAGATTATAGAAGACATGTTCACTTTACTTTTTTTGTCTTACTCATTATTTCTACTAACCTCATTCCCTCACATTAATAGGTGACGTATTTCTAGTCTGTGGCACTGATAACTAAGTATTTCAGACATGCAACTTGATATTCAACTAAACAGGTCAAAATCAAAACTCTATACCAGGTGAAGCCAGAAACACCAAACTTGTCCCAAACTGATAAGGATAAAGCATCAGTTATGGTTTAACGCACATGTATGTTACATGTATATATTTATTTATTCTTGAAACTCATTCTAAAAATTATTTGAGGCAGCCTAAAATTTGTAAACTAAATGCTTAAAATTATACTTGTATTGTAAAATTATACTTGTATTGTATTGTATTATACTTGTATTGTAAAGCTTCTAACTATATTTAAGAAAATAGTTCAAACCACTAGTTCCAAAAGGCTCATTTTACATAGTGTTGCCCTCATACGGCCCTCCACCCTGTATTATTTTTTTTCTATATTTTAGTTGACTTTATTTTTTTCTGGGCCTTTTAAAAAATATCCCAGGCTTTTTCTTAATTCTCATACACAGAATAATGGGCCTAATACAATTATTCCTCCGAATTTACATGAGAGAATTTACAATCCTTTAACACCAAATAGACCAGCAATTACACATTTTTGTTTATGTTTAACTTCTTCAAATTAACTTTTCTTAGAAACTGAGAACACAAAAATAACTGCATTACCAACAAAGACAAATAAGCTAACAAAGTACAGATTTTTGTTTACAACTTTTGCTTATATCTGGCTGAAGGGTCCTATTTCTATCCTTTAATTCTGTCTCTGTTATGTACTAACAAAAATAGACATTACAAAAAGACACTCAAACTTCTAGTCTGGATATGTTTGGTTTATTACTGCTGTTGCATGTGGAGTATTCAAAGTTCTTCCCAGAAATGACTTCCACCCAGGAAATTTCTAGGACCATCCAGTTTGAACAACGACCCTAAGTTTCTTCCAAGGGTCTCAAGCTACCTTGCTTTTGAACTTTCAGGTCTTTGTGGTTCTGGTCCCTGCTATCCTTCCCCTAAACTTTGTTTTAACTCCTTCATATCTCTTCTAATTTTGTCTTTCAATCTTGGGGGAAAAAAGTTTTCCTCATGTTTTTATTACAAAATAAAGTTATAGTAACACATTGAGAACATTCTGATAAGCAAAAAGAAAAAATATAAAACATGTTACTACTACCAACAAGATTAATGATTGATTACTCAATAACCTTCCATCTTTTTTCTATTCACTTTACATTGCATTTTTTATATACATGTTTGTATATATGCACACAACTGTATTTACAAACACACACATACACACACACACACACACACACACAACCAGTTTATAACTGATAGCTTATTACAAAAAGAGCAAATAGGTTTCATCTCCAGTATTGTATTCATTGGCTAAGATGGTATTGACAAGAATCCTCAGGCTGAATTCAGATCCAAAATGAAAGAATACTGTGATTGATTAGCAATGTCTGACATAGGTATGGGAGGGAGGAATACCAGCATATATGCCAGATATTTTCCATCCCAAATTTATTCTGTTTCTATAGAGGTACCTATCACTATTTCAAGCACCAATGTCTGTTGGTCACAAGTGCTATTCTTGACTTACAGCTGTGAATGGATACACTTTTGGAAGTCTCCCAGGACTCTCCATGTGTGCAGAAGACAGAGTGAAATGGTATCTTTTTGGTATGGGTAATGAAGTTGATGTGCACGCAGCTTTCTTTCATGGACAAGCATTGACTAACAAGAACTACCATGTTGATACAATCAACCTCTTTCCTGCTACCCTGTTTGATGCTTACATGGTAGCCCAGAACCCTGGAGAATGGATGCTTAGCTGCCAGAATCTTAACCATCTGAAAGGTAGGCCACCTTTACCTGAAGTTAGCTGTCAGTTGAAAAAATAATCACTAGCTGGACTCGGTGGCTCAGCCTGTAATCCCGCGCTTTGGGAGGCCGAGGTGAGTGAATTGCCTCAGCCCGCAGGTTCGAGACCTGCCTGGGCAACTTGGCGAGACCTCATCTCCACAATAAATCAAAAAAATTAGCCGGACGTGGTAGTGCACGCCTGTAGTTACAGCTACTTGGAAGGCTGAGGCGGAAGGATCACGGAGCCCAGCAGACTGAGTCTGCGGTGGCCGGGAGTGTGCCACTGCACTCCAGTATGGGTGACAGAGTGAGACTCCAACTGAAAAAAAAAAAAAAAGAAAAAGAAAAGAAAAAGTGATCACTGAAACTCAGAATCTAAAAGCAAAATGAAAGGACAAAAAGCCAAAACTGAGCTTTGAACTGGTATCCTAGTTATATTCCTCTGATGGTGAATGAGGGGGACCTCAAAAAAATGGACTTTTTTTTGGAGGGTGAGCTTTTTGTAGTACAGGTTTCCTTCACTAGGTAAGTATTCTAGGAATCTAGTATCAGCTACCATTATTATGAGGCTGCATTTGGCTTCTGTGAATTTTTTTGGCGATTCTTTCAATACGTCTGCCCATTTCATGATGGATGATTTATGAGTGCATCTGCCCTCACTGTGCTGAGTGTTCAGCAGATTTTGACCAAAAACAAGCCCCACCCTCCCTATTCATGAGATCTCACCCCAATCAACTTTTTTTTGTTTCGCTGGATGAAAAAAATCCTCAAGGGAAACGTTTTGCCCATGTGAAAAGGTGAAACAAAACGGCAGCAGGACTAAAAGGCATCAAAATGGACAAGTTTCAAAACTGTTTTGAGCAGTGGAAAAAGTGTCTTGATAGATGTATTGCATCAAACAGAGGTGACTGAAGTTTAAACATGTAAGAATAAATACACAATTTTTTATAAACAAATGCCAGGGTTTTGGGGCGGTCCCTCTGAATATCAGAATATAATTTTTTAAAACTGGAACATTATAAAAGTAATGAGATCTGAAAATATATTCACTTTTGGAGAAGAACAATTGGCCCTGAAAGTATAGTACTGTATATAGTTTCCCAATTTTTGCAGTATTGTAAAAACCAGACGATTTGTGTTTGTGTGGGAAAGCAGCATGTTTGTTTTTTAACCCATTTCTATCACGTATAACCAACTTTGCTCTTTATCTGAATCTAGTTATTCCTTGGTTTAACTTGATAAATCCTTCCTCTGTCTCTTTAATTTCAGTGTTAAAGACATTCTTCTTTCATGGAAAATATTTGTTTGTAATACTGGTCTTACTGAAGAAAATAGGTTTAATGTGGGTGCTTGGATATGATACTTTGACCTGCAAACATAACTGCTTTTATCAAATATGACAAGGTCAACACACAGCTGCAAGCCATTTTGTGTGAGAGTAATCTGTGCTAATTCTATTCCTCCTCCTCCACCCAACGCTACCCCTTAATATATGCCAAAGCCTTCTTTGCTTATCTATAAATTTGTCCTTTATATCTCATCAAAAGAACTACCAAGTGAAACCCCACAGAAACGGAACCATATTTTGAAAACAAGCATACTTAATATCTCTGTGCTCTATGTAAATGAAAAGATGCATGTCTTTCTTAAAACTTGAATTTGCCATCAGTAATTTAATTACAGTGATTTATCCTAGCTTATAGTATTGTGTCTATTTCTTCAACTTCCACCTGTCATTTTACTAGCAGTGTTTACAGGGCAATAGGAGAGAAAAACATTGAGTCCATTAACCAATGCCTCCTTCTGCTTCATTTCAGCTGGTTTGCAGGCCTTCTTCAGGGTCCAGGACTGTAACAAGCCTTCATCAAGGAATGATATCCACGGAAAACATGTTAGACACTACTACATTGCCGCTGAGGAAATCATCTGGAATTATGCTCCTTCCGGTATAGACACCTTCACCAAAGAAAACTTAACAGCACCTGAAAGGTAACTGGCAAAAAAAGACTAATTTTTCAAAGTATGCTCTTCCCTTCCAAAATAACCACAAAAGGCTGATTTAGAAATTAAAATTTTAATTAGTACCTGAAGTTGAGTAACTAGACTGTTAGATATTTATTAAGATAGTTGCTTTTTTATCGTAAGATATTTGATATAAGAGTTTGAACTACTATTTTTTTTCCTTTCCCTAACCCCTACATTGGTCAAGTACACTATGACTTCTGGGACTTTGAAAAAAACAATGGGTTCAAAAGTTACCAGATGCTTGATGAAGTCCTAAGAAAACACTCAATACAATTAGATAAATCCATTAGTTGCTTTCCATCTCAGAAAACACAGGATTATATAATTCAGCAGCATTAAGTACAATTAAAATGTATAACCATTACTGCTGTACATTTCTAAAACTTTCTTATCATCCCAAATAGAAACTCTGTACCCATTAAACAATAACTTCTCCTAATTTCACCTTTTCTCCACTCCCTGATAACCTCTATTCTACTTTCCGTTTTTATGAATTTGCCTATTCCAGGCAACTCATACAAGTGTAATTATACAATATTTGTTCTTTTATGTTGGGTTGATTTCACTTAACATAATGTTTTCAGTGTTTGTCCATGTATTAGCATGTACCACAATTTCAATCCTCTTTAAAGCTGAATAATATTCCTATGTATATCTATATTACATTATGTTTATTCATTCACCTGTTGGTCATTGGGGTTGTTCCCACTTTTGGCTATTGTGAATAATGTTGCTATGAGCAATTGGTGTATGAATATCTGTTCCAAGTCTTGGCTTTTAATTATTTTGCATATCTACCTAGGAGTGGAATTGCTAGATCATATGGTAATTCTATTTTTAGCTTTTTGAAGAACTACCATACTGTTTTCCATAGCAGCTGCACCATTTTATAAGCTTACCAGCTGTGTACAGGGGTCCCAATTTCTCCACATTCTCATCAATACTTGTTATTTTCTGGGTTAAAAAAATAGTAGCCATCCTAATGGGTGTCAGGTGATATCTCAGTGGTTTTAATTTGTATTTCCTTAGTGACTAGCGATGTTGAGCATATTTTCATGTGCTTGTTGGTCATTTTTGTATCCTCTTCAGAGAAATGTCTATTCAAATACTTTGCTCATTTTTGAATTGAGTTGTTTTTTGTTGTTGTTGGCTTGTGGGAGTTTTATATATTCAGGATATTAATTCCTTATCAGATACTTGCAAATTTTTTTGTCAACCTGTAGGTGGTCTTTAACTCTCTTGATAGGGTCTTTGAGCATACAAGCTACTCTTTGTACATGTCTAGATGACTTTCATAGCTCCCAGCCATTCTATCTCAGTTTTCCTTTCCTATTATCCATTTTTTACAAAGCAGTCAAGGTGATCTTTCAAAAATGTCAATGAAGCCTGAGCAACATAGCAAGATCTCATCTCTACAAAAAATTTTAAAAGTAGCCAAGTGTGATGGTGTACACTTGTTGTCCCAGCTACTCAGGAGGCTGAGGTGGAAAGATTGCCTGAACCCAAAATGTTGAGGGTGCAGTGAGCGGTGATTATGCCACTGCCCTCCAGCCTGGGTGACAGAGTGAGATCCTGACTAAAAACAAACTAACAAACAAAAAAGTCAGTGAGATAATGCCACTCCCCTGCTCCAAGTCTTTGCTCATGTATCACTTCCTCAGAGAAGCCCTGTTTGTCACCCATCTTAAAAAATCCCTTCCTTCGAAAGATTAAGTAATTCACTCAATGTTATACAATAAACCGATAGCTAGGCCTGGCTCCAACCATGCCTGTGACTCTTGACACAGAGATTTAAGTTCCAGGGTACACTGACATGTACATGTGGTAACTCCCACGGTCGCATCTCCAACCCAGAAGGCTCTTGTGAACTTTGGATTTGCATTTCAAACTTCTTAGTGGATTTGGATGAGACCCCTCCAACTCAACATGTCTAAACCTGAATCCATTGTCTCCTCTGCAAATCTGAATTTCCTCTTCTCTCAGAGAATAGTATTGCCCTCTCTTTACGCAACCATCCAAATGCCACATCTAAAACCTGATCACCAAGCTTGATTTCCTTCCTTCTTCACCAATCCCTCCTTCTCTCTTCATCAAGTACTGTCTCACTATAGCCTAAATATCTCTGAAAGCTAACTACAGGGGGGGCAACTTCTCCAAAATGGAATTTATTTATAAAAAATTGTGTATTTATTCTTACATGTTTAAACTTCAGTCACCTTCAAAGTACTCTCCGTTTGACGCAATACACCTATTGAGATGCTTTTTCCACTGCTCAAAACAGTTTTTGAACTCATCCATTTTGATGCCTTTTAGTGCTTCTGTCATTTTTTGTTTCATCTCTTCCCCGCTGGCAAAATGCTTCCCTCTGAGGACTTTTTTCATCCAGGGAAACAAATAAAAGTTGCTTGTGGCAAGACTAGGAGAACAGGGAAGGTGGGGCAAGGGCTTCGTGCCATTTTTGATCAAAAACTGTTGAACACTCAGCACAGTATGAGCAGATGCACGTGTAAATCACCCTTCTTGAAAAGGGCAAACACGTTGAAAAAATCTCCAAAAAAAAAATTCACTAAAGTCCAACCTAGCCTCTCACAACAATGCTAGCTGGTATACTGATACCAGTGGGCTCCCAGAACACATAACTAGCGGGGGAAGTCTTCACTACGAGGAACCTTCCCTTCAAAAGAGAATTTCAGATTTTGGGAGGCTCCCTCTCGTATTTATGTTCATCTTCTTTGCTAAGTCTTTTTTTTTTTTTTTTTGAGTCAGATTCTCACTCTGTCACCCAGACTGGAATGCAGTGGCACACTTACAGCCACCACACCTCAACCTGCTGGGGAAGCCTTCCGCCTCAGCCTTACAAGTAGCTTGAACTACAGGTGCATGCCATCACGTCCATCTAATTTTTTTTGATTTATTGTAGAGATGAGGCCTCGCCAAGTTGCCCAGGCTAGTCTTTCACCTCCACCTCCCAAAGTGCTGGAGTTACAGGCATGAGCCACCGTGCCCGACTTGCTAAGTCATCCCCACTTTCCACTTGATTATAAAAGTGGGCTCCTGAAGTCTCCCTGCTGCAGTCTTATGTTTTCCAACACATTCTCTAGGCAGCTGCCCAAGGGATCCTCCTAAAACTAATCCGGAATGTTTACGTCTTTCCAACCTTCTCACTGCCCTGGGGTGAAAGTCTAAAACTTAACTAGGTCCTCCTGCCCATCCCCTACCTCCCCAATTCTCCTCCTTCACTCCTCTGCCCTGCATGTTATGTTTCTGCCATATTTTCTAGAACATGCTGTTCTCTTTCTCTCCTCTGATCCTTCCTATAAGCCGTTTCCTCTTTGTATACGTCTGCCTTATCTATCCCCAACCACAAACACTTCATCTTGCTAACGCTACTTCTCCTTGAGATGGTTTTCAACAATCACTTCCTCTGGAAAGTCTTTGTGGCTTCTCCCCACCACTTTCCCTAACCTCAGGAGAAATGCTTCATAACCCCCTGTGCTTAGTACATGTTATTATGTCTATTGGTTCATAGTCTACCTTGTCTCCTGATGTAAGGTTCAGCTTACTATGATTACGTCACCAACACATAGCAAGCTCCTGGCAAAGAGCAGGCATTTCATACATTTGCCAAGTGAAAGAAGAGATGAATAGGGTGGCTTTGTGTAAAGTCAGGTATCTTTCTGAAATTTAATTCCTTCATTTGCAAACTGGGGAGAATAATATTGACTCTGTTGCAATGTCATGTGAGTTTTAGCTTATAAATAAAAGCTCCTTGGCCGGTACGGTGGCTCATGCCTATAACACCAGCACTTTGGGAGACCAAGGCAAGAGGATTACTTGAGCCCAGGAGTTCGAGATCAGCCTGGGCAACATAGTGAGACCTTGTCTCTATAAACAAACAAACAAACAAACAAACAAACAAACAAACAAAAACTCAGAACATTTGCCAGACATGATTGTGTGTGCCTGTAGTCCCAGCTACTCAGGAGGCTGGGGTGGATGGATCTCCTGAGCCCAAGAGATCCAGCCTGTGGTGACCTGTGATCATCCAACTGCACTCCAGCCTGAATGACAGAGTGAGATTCCAACTAAAAAAAATAAAATAAAATAATAGTCTGGCTACTTGAAAGGCTGAGGTAGAAGGATTGCCGGAGCCCAGCATGTCAATGCTGGGGTAGCTGTGAGCAAGCCACTGCACTCCAGTCTGGGCAATGGAGTGAGACTCCAACTGAAAAAAAAAAAAAAAAAAAAATTAGAATTTGGGCACATGCCTGAAATCCCAGAACTCTTTTTCTCTCTGATAGACTTTTAAATAAACTGTATTTTTTAATCTAAAAAAATAGTAATAATAATAATAAAATAAAGCTCCTGAATACCTGGTTGGTACTAATACACAAAAAAGGATAGCTAATGTATTTTAAAAGATTTCATAATTTGATAAAAAGACTCTATTGTAGAACAGTTTATTAACTGTCAGGATTGACATGGGCCAGCTTGAAACTTTTTTCAAGATTCATTTGAAAAAAAATCTCCTCCACGACTCTCTTCTTCTTAACTGGACATCTGAGTGGCCTAGAACGTTCTGTTTCTGCTTAGTAACTGGTACAGATTACTAAATCATGGACCATGTTCATCTCTAAGCACTGGTCAGAATTTCTCTCTCCTATTAGTACCCTGCATGTATACCTACTCTCTCTTCTACTTCAACCCCAGCATTAAACCCTTTTTCTTCTGGCAGTGACTCAGAGGTATTTTTTGAACAAGGGACTAAAAGAATCGGTGGCTCTTACAAAAAGTTGGTTTATCGTGAGTACACAGATGCCTCCTTCACCAATCAAAAGGCGAGGGGCCCTGAAGAGGAACATCTTGGCATCCTGGGTGAGTCCGTGCAGAATATATATATGGCTGGTGAACTCTTCCCTGGGCTACATCAAACTCAAAAGGAGATTTCAAGACCTGTAATATGATTTCTTTTCTTTTCTTATTTGAAAAGAGTAAGTAAGTTGGAGTCTCATTCTGTCACCCAGGCTAGAGTACAGTGGCACACTCATGGCCACCGCAGCCTTGACCCTGCTGGGCTCAGATGATTCTTTCCACCTCAGCCTTCCAAGTGGCTGGAACCACAGGCATGTGCCATCACACCTGGCTAATTTTTTGATTTATTGTAGAGACAAGGTCTCACCAAGTTGCCCAGGCTCGTGGCAAACCCGTGGGCTCGGGCAATCTTCCCACCTCAGCCTCCCAAAGTGCTGGGATTACAGGTGTGGGCCACTGCACCTAGCCCATGATTTCTACATATTCATATGGAGGATCAAACATCAATAAAATGCAGCAGCTAATTATTTTCCCAAATGTAAATTACCAGTAGTAAATCTTCATCAGTTAGGTTGACTAAATGAATCCATCATGAAGCCATGTTGACTTAGAATGATTATATTTTTCCTTCATAGAAGTAAGGGGAATTGTGTATCTATGTGACATGATTTACATAGATAACTAAGTTGTTAACCTCTGCTCTTAGCTAATAGAGCATTCCCTTAGAAATAAAGTCCCAATGGGCCAGGCGCGGTGGTTCACATCTATAATCCCAGCACTCTGGGAGGCCGAGGTGAGAGGATTGCCTGAGCTCACGGGTTCAAAACCAGCCTGGGCAACTTGGCAAGCCCTCATCTCTACAATTAAAAAAAGGAAAAATTAGCTGGGCATGGTGGTACGTGCCTGTGGTTCCAACTACTTGGAGGGCTAAGGCAGAAAGGGTCACTTGAGCCCAGCAGGTCGAGGCTGCGGTGGCCATGAGCATGCCAGCCTGGAGTGAGACTTCAACTCAAAAATAAATAAACAAACAAACAAATAAACAAACAAAATCCAAGCACTATGAGACAGAGGATCTGTCCAAGAGGTCTCTGCAGTCTGTCGTCAGGCAGAGAACTCTGAGACCCTCTCTGGCTCAGGCGCCAGACAGAGTAGCACAATGGATGAGCCAAGTCTGGATTCAGATTGTCTTCGCCTATGAGCTATGTGGCCTTTGAAAGTTATTCAACTTTCTGGGCAACCCCTTCGAGTCCCCTCCCGCTGTGGGAGCTTTTTTGTCCTCTCAATAAATCCTGCTTTCTAAAAGAAAAAAGCAGGTTACTCAACTTTCTGTGTCTGCTCCCCTCTGTAAAATGGAAACAATAATAGTTCCTACCTCATAAAGTTGTTATAAGGATTAAATGGGTTAATAGTACACATAAATACCCAGAAAGACACATATGAAGCTCTCAATAAAAGTCAGTTTGTATATTACATAAAATATGGATGTGTTATGTATCTATGTCTTTATCCTATAATTGGTAACATTAATTTTGGTGATAAAAGGTCTAAAACAGTGTTACTTTTCACATCCAAGACAATTTAGCTTACCTGCTTTGGGGAGTGGGGTGTCAAAGTTTATAGCACCCCCTGGCTTTTTGTATACATCCAACCAACAGAAGACTGGGGTGAGGAAATTTCATATAGACACTCTGCCTATTAATCCACTTGGACAAAAATGATAACCAAGTTCATTCATCTGAGGTTGGATCAGAACTCCCTTCTCATCTGCTCCCAACCTTTCCATGTCAGACTGATCTTGGATTTTTCAAAAACCAAGCTTTCCATTTGCTACAAATAAAGACTTATTTCCCATAGTTCTTGTCAGAAAACACAGCCAAAGAAAATAACTGTCTTACACATTCTGCATGTTTTATCCCTAGGTCCCGTCATTTGGGCAGAGGTAGAAGACACCATCAGAGTCACGTTCTATAACAAAGGACCACATCCCCTCAGTATTGAACCGGTTGGGGTGAGATTCAATAAGAGCTACGAGGGCACCTACTATGGACAGAGTGAAAGTGAGTACAGCACTCTGAAACCAGTCAGCGATGTGTAATACCCCACTGCCCTCGTCAATTGCAGTGTCACGCAAAAACTAAAGGCAGAAACTCCCAAGCAAACTGCTCACACGCCAACTTTCAACATCATGACATGAAGCAAATAAAGCTCTTCTCCTGCCATTTCAAATTGGTTTATGGAATTTTGTCCTGTCTTAATTGGATGAGTTTGAAAATATCTATAGTTAATTTAATTGGGCTGTAACAATGATACATTTCTGGAGTACTCCTTGAGTGATTTTTAATTTTTTAAAAAATTATTATGCTGGGCGCAATGACTCACGCCTATAATCCCAGCACTTTGGGAGGCTGAGGTAAGAGGATTACATGAGCCCACGGGTTTGAGACCAGCCTGGGCAGGACTTCATCTCTACAATAAATCAAAAATTAGCCAGGTGTGGTGGCGCCTGCCTGTAGTTCCAGCTACTCGGAAGGCTGAGTTAGAAGGATCACCTGAGCCCAATAGGTTAAGGCTGCGGTGGCTGTGAGCATACCATTGCACTCCAGCCTGGGTAACAGACTGAGACTCCAACTCAAAAAAAAAAAAAAATTATTATAAGAAAGTTAGAGGCTCACTTTAGAATATCTTAAAAATATAGAAAGGTATAGTCCAAAATATTAATTGTCCATAGTTCTATAGACACCACTATTATATTTTATATGATTCCTCTATTTTCACCTATGGACATAAAACACATATTTTAAATATGGTTAAGATCATAGCATACAAATATACTTATTATTATAATTTTTTATCCAGAGTTTATTCTCTTAGCATTATAGACATTTTCTAAATACCAGGGGTGGCAAAAAAAAAAATGTATATACGTTCTAAGAGATGTTATCTATGTATTACTTTTCGAAGCACTTTTCAGAAGTGTCTAGACGCTGATTGTAACCCCTTTGAGCACCTCTTATAATTGCAGAAATCAAACGTAACTTGTATTTATCTTTTGTTATAGGTATATATTAATCTCTTTCCTTTCTTAAAATGTGTATACAATTTTTTGGCACCCTCCATATAATTTTGGTGATACAAGATATTCCACTATGTGGATGTTTTTGACTATTTTTACATATTAAGGCTAAACAGTGAACACCAATGACTTTGCCACCACTTGCAGTGTGACTGTGGGCAAGTTATTCAGTCTTTCTGTCCTCAGTTTCCTCAAGTATAAATTTCAGATATTTGAGCAGGACCATCTGTAGAGTTCCTTTCAGTTCTACAATTATTTTAAATTCAGTTGTATTCAATAGAAAATGCATCGATTACACCCTACTGCCAGGTGTTGTTCTAGTTGATAGACTGTTCTAGCTGATAGACAATGCTTGCCTTCAAGAAGGCTTGAGAAAGAAGAGCACACAACCTAGCATGAGAGGAGCTAGGGACATTCTCAGGAGATGCGTGAGCACAAAGGGGGGCACCAATCCCAGATGGAGGGTCAAAGGAGTCTATCTGTAGGAAAGCACACCCATTTGTTTATCTGACACAAGAGCACAAGTAGGATTCCATTCTAATTCATAACAAGGAACGCTGGTGGGTGATTTAGACTAAGCTCAGTTTCCTCTGTGGCTTAAATGACCACTTTAGAAAACACACTTAACCTCTCTCATGTGACCTTTCTCACAGGTGTGCCTCCTTCTTCAGCCTCCCATGTGGCACCCAAAGAAACATTCACCTATGAATGGACTGTCCCCCAAGAAGTGGGACCCACTTATGCAGATCCTGTGTGTCTATCTAAGATGTATTATTCTGCTGTGGATCCCACCAAAGATATATTCACTGGACTTATTGGGCCAATGAAAATATGCAAGAAAGGAAGTTTACATGCAAATGGGAAACAGGTAAGTCCAATCAGGGAAAAAAGAAAAGGATTTTTAAAATCTCTTTGAATTATCATTAATATAAGAAAAATCTTGGGGTTTGAGGCAATGCAGCTTCTACACATAATGTTTATTATACATTTCTTTTCAGGCTTTTAAAATCTGTATTGTGAGATTCTCTGGCTAATGTGATTGTTCCAAGATGGGTTGGAAACATGATTTTCCATGGGATTTAAGGTCTTTTATGATGCAATTAGACTTTAACACACACATTTTAAAAAATCATCTATTAATGATAATGATTTAATCAACATTCACTGAAGGAAATATTGCTTAAAGTATTTTTTAGAAATGAGAAAATGACTCTGATGTAGAAACAGAAATGCCTAACCCCATCATTTTTTAATATCTAAAATAAATACTTTAGTATATGCTTTAAAAGATAATGACTTCTTTTAAAATGCCCACAATGATCACATCTTAAAATAATAACCACATACATTATAATAACTTATTAAAATGATCAAGCGCGGCACAGTGACTCAGAGCCTGTAATCCCAGTATTTTGGGAGGCTGAGGCAAGAGGATTGCCTGAGTTCAGGCGTTCGAGACCAGCCTGGGCAACTTGGTGAGACTCATTTCTACAATAAATAAATAAAAAAAAAATTAGCCAGGCGTGGTGGCATATGCCTGTACTTCCAGATACTTGGAAGGCTGAGGCACAAGGATCGCCTGAACCTAGCAGGTTGAGGCTGCGGTGGCCATGAGCATGCCACTGCATTATAGCCTGGGTGACAGATACTCCAATTCAAAAAAATAATTATCAAATATCCAGTTCACACCTATAATCCTAGAACTTTGGAAGGCTTAGGTGAGCAGATTGCTTGAGCCCAGGGCTTCAAGACCAGCCTGTGCCACATAGCAAAGTCTTGTCTCTACAAAAAAAATTTAAAAACTAGCCAGGTACGGTGGCAGACACCTACAGGACCAGCTACTCAGGAGGCTGAGGCAGAAGGATCATCTGAACCCAGGAGGTAGAAGCTGCAGTGAACCGTGATTGTGTCACTATGCTCCAGCCTGGGCAACAGAGTGAGACTCCAACTCATAAAAAAAAAAAAAGAAAGAAAGAAAGAAAAAGAAAAATCACATAGCTAATCAATGTTCACATTTGCTGATTGTCTAGTAATAGCTTTTATTATTTGAATCAGTATCCAAACAATTACAAATATTACAATCAACTGATATATTTAAGTTTTGGGTTTTTTTTTGTAATTTTTCTGTTGTAAGAGTTATTGGTCCTATAGAAGTTTCCCATGTCTAGATTTCACTTATTGCATCCCTGTGGTGTCATTCATGTTTCTTTCTCTCTCTCTCTCTCTCTCTCTCTCGCTCCATTTCCTATAATGGCTAGATCAAAAGGTTTGATTAGATTAATATAGTGTTTTGGGGGGTTTTTTTTTCAAGACTACTTCAAATGTGGTAGTAGGTACTTCTATCAGGGAGTATATAATTTATAGTTGTCTTTCAATGTTATCAGCTACTGATGACAGTTTCCTAGATTCATAAATTAATTAGGGTTTGCATAATAATAATATTCTAATTCTATAATTCTTTGTTTATTAGCTGGCATACTTCTATAAACAGAAACTTCTCTTAATGAATTATTTGGTTATGCCGAAGTCCATATCATATAGAAGGGTAGGACAAGGGCCAGGCACGGTAGCTCATACCTGTAATCCCAGCACTTTAGGAGGCTGAGGCGGGAGGACAGCTTGAGCCCAGGAGTTCGAGACCAGCCTAAGCAATATAGTGAAACTTTGTCTCTATTAAAAAAAAAATTACAAAAATTAGCCAGGCGAGGTGGTACACTCCTATAGTCCCAGCTACTCAGAAGGCTGAGGCAGAAGGATCACTTCAGTCTAGGAGTTTGGGCTGCGGAGAGCTATGATTTCACCATTGCATTCCAGCGTGGGAGACAGAGCACGACCCTGTCTGTAACAACAACAAAGAGAAGAACAAGTACTTGATTTTCTCCCTATATTCACAGGCTTTCAAATTAATTACTCTCTTCTATCATACTTCAAAGCTTCTCAATAATTCCTTTTCTTTTTAAGCAGCCTTGTGAACTTGCAGATTTGATCATATTGGTGTGTTGCAATTCATTGTCATCATTCCTACTGATGTTCCAAGTATGCTTTTTGATTCTGGGAGACTTGTTCAGGTTGACTCTATCATTTTTACATGGTCATAGTAGTCTTTGAAGCTTCTTTACTTTCTAATATAACAAAATATCAGGCTCATCTTGCACATTGTCTGAGCCAGACCTGGAACCAATAGTTTGTTTCCCAAAGCCCTAGTTCTTTATGGTGAGAAATTATTCTAGAATCACAATCTGGGCACTAGAGGTACTCATTGCTATTGGGTTAATCATTGTTTCTGGGTCTTTTCAGTGGAAAGAAATTTCTTTTAAAAAGTTTTAAGACAGCTGGGCTCGGTGACTCAGTCTGTAATCCCGCGCCTTTGGGAGGCTGAGGTGAGTGGATTGCCTGAGCCCGCGGGTTCGAGACCCGCCTGGGCAGCAAGACCTCATCTCTACAATAAATTAAAAAATCAGCCGGGCGTGGTAGCGCATGCCTGTAATTCCAGCTACTCAGAAGGCTGAGGCGGAAGGATCTCCGGAGCCTAGCAGGTCGAGGGAGCGACCACTGCACTCCAGTCTGGGCAACAGAGTGAGACTCCAACTCAAAAAAAAAAAAAAAAAAAGGTTTAAGATAAATTCATCATGATTTCATACTGATACTTTCTATTCAAATTTGTCTATGTATGCTCTTGTTTGTTACTAACTTCATCAATCTTACATTTGTATTTCCCTTCAACTGCACTGAAAAATCTTAGTTTTTAATGGCACCAACATTAATATTCACTTGATTCATCTCACAATATGCACACAATGTTCTCAGGATCACAATTACAACACTATAACCAATAATATGATTACTCAAAACAATTCAAAATGTGTTTGCCACTCTTTTTGTCCTTAGAGTGGATTCTACTAGGGATTTTTCAGCCAAGTTTAACAATTAGTCACTGGGAATAGTTCTGCCGCTCAATGGATTTATAAGTTTATTTAATTCACTTTACTTCTTTTTTTAGAAATTGCTTTTAAAACAGTAGCTGGTCACGTGGTGCATGGCTGTAATCCCAGCACTTTGGGAGTCTGAGGCAGGGGCATTGCTCAAGCCCAGGAGTTTGAGGCCAGCCTGGGCAACACAGCAAGACCTTGTTTCTATAAAAAATAAAAAAGTTAGCTAGCTATGGTAGCACATGCCTGTAGTCCCAGTTACTCAGGAGGCTGAGGCTGGAGGATCACTTGAGTCCAGGAGGTCGAGGTTGCCATGAGCCATGATTGTGCCACTGCATTCCAACCTGGGTGGCAGAGTAAGACCCTGACTCAAAAAAAGAAAAAAAGAAAAGAAAAGAAAAGAATTATCATAGAAAATCTATCACTGAAGTTCAAAGATCTTACCAGAACCTTTTTAGGTATAGGTTTCTATTACTCATTTCATCTTGTTTTCAGTAAAGTCTTTGAATCTGAATATCCCAGTTTTCTCTGTTTGTGATGGTGAACATTTCTCTTCTTATGATTGTGCCTCCTCTTATATAACTTCTGTCTTCCTAAAATTATTACCATGTGCATATTTTTCATCTTTGAATCTCTTCCCCTGATTTATGGCAGCTGTCTTTTTTTTAAGTTTTAATTTAATTTAATCTTTTTTTTTTTTTTTTGAGTTGGAATCTCACTCTGTCACCCAGACTGGAGTGCAGTGGCCACTCCTAGCCACCGCAGCCTCGACCTGCTGGGCTCCGGCGATCCTTCCGCCTCAGCCTTCCGAGTAGCTGGAACTACAGGCACATGCTACCACGCCCGGCTACTTTTTTGATTTATTGTAGAGATGAGGTCTCGCCAAGTTGCCCAGGCAGGTCTTGAACCCGCGGGCTCAGCAATCCACTCACCTCAGCCTCCCAAAGGCACGGGATTACAGGCTGAGCCACCAAGCCTGGCTAGGTTTTAATTTTAAATATGTGGGGTACAGTTCAGAATTAGGTATACAATTGCTCATTATGCAAGTACCCTTGTTGATGAGGTGTACCTCCCCCTCTCCTGGCAGTTTTCAATTACTGCCGATCCTGCCCCCACCCTCCCCTGGCAGTTTCCCACTACTACCAATCCCTTTCTTATAGTATTACGATAGTTGTTCAAGGTCCATGTATGAGTGAGAACATGTGATACTCTGTTCTTTATTTATGTGATAGATCACTCAGTATTATAACCTTTAAGAACGTCCAAGTTGCTGTGAAGTTCATAATTTTGTCCCTCTTTATGACTGCGTAATATTCCATCATTTTTTTTTTTTTTTTTTTTTTTTTTGAGTTAGAGTCTCACTCTGTTGCCCAGGCTGGAGTGCAGTGGCATGCTCACAGCCACCACAGGTTATCCTTCCACCTCAGCTTTCCAAGTAGCTGAAACTACAGACACACACCACCATTCCTGGATAGTTTTTGTGATTTTTTTTTTTTTATTGTAGAGATGAGGTCTCACAGTTGCCCAGGCTGGTCTCGAACCCCAGGGCTCAGGCAATTCTCTCGCCTCAGCCTCCCAATGTGCTGGGATTACAGGCTAAGTCACAATGCCCGGCCTCCATTGTGTATGTGTACCACATTTTTTAAAAATTCGGTCCTCTTTGATGGGCAGCACGGTTGTGAATAATGTTTTGCTGTTGTGAATAATGCTGCAATAAACATACGTGTACAGATATCTTTTTCATAGAGTGATTTGAGTTCCTTCAGGTATATTCCCAGTAGGGGTATTGCAGGGTCATATGGGAGGTCGATTTTTAAATCTTTTAGGAATCATATGGTAGCTTTCTTCACATCACCTTCATCATGGATTCAGTTCTCTGCAGGATCTAACCTTCAAGCCTCTGTCTTAGTCAGATGTTTTTTAATCTGAAATTCCAGTCATGTTTTCATCTGAAAGAATGACCTCAAGGAGCAAAAATCTCTAAATTCTCTCTTGTGAGAGGGTAGCTTATTCTCCCGGCTTATTTGCTTTGATTCCTTACACTGCCTGCCTTCTTTTGAACAACTGAATCATTTCATAGACCAGATAGCAGTTCTGCTTCCTATTTTTTACCAGTAGCAGGGGAAGAGGGTAAAAATGTTTGTCCAGCTGGTGGAAGATTGTGTGAATTTCCATTCCAACTCATTGGCAGTTATTTCTTCACTTAGGATGACTGCTTCCTTGATCTCCTTTTGCCCTGCTCTGCCTTACAGGAAATCTTCCAGTTTTCATGAAAGTGGAAGGCATCTTCCCTGATTTCTGGCACAGGCCCATATTCTCCCCTATCCCATCTCCTGTTTTTGATGACTTTAATTGGTATGGGCAATGTGGGCAGGAAAGTAGGGAGAAAGTTAGATGCAGAGAGAGGCTCAGACCACCATACTGAAACCATGAATCCGTTAAACAATGAAAACCCTGGTGGTCAACCAGAATATCTCGTGAACCCTAGTTTATACAGGAAAACAGAAACTTCTGTTCCTTCCTTTACAAGCGTCTGTGCTCAAATAGTATTGTGTACATGGTAGTCTTCTGCCCTGCTCATTCTGTCTTCATCTCATGTTTTTGTTTTGATTTACAGAAAGATGTCGACAAAGAGTTCTACTTGTTTCCTACAGTATTTGATGAGAATGAAAGTTTACTCCTAGATGATAATATTCAAATGTTTACAACTGCACCTGATCAGGTGGATAAGGAAGATGCAGACTTTCAGGAATCTAATAAAATGCACTGTAAGTATTGCATCATGCGCAAAGCTATTAAGTTATTTCAGTCCATGCCAGGCGCAGTGGCTCATGCCTGTGTCACAATACTTTGGGAGGTGGAGGCGAGAGGATTGCCTGAGCCCATGGGTTCAAGATTAGCCTGGGCATCTTGGCAAGATCTCGTCTCTACAATAAATCAAAAAATTAGACCGGGCATGGTGGGTCACACCTATAATCCCTTTGGGAGGCGGAGGTGAGAGGACTGCCTGAGTCCAGGACTTTGAGACCAGTCTGGGCAACTTGGTGAGACCTCATCTCTACAATAAATCAAAAACTTAGCCGGGCATGGTGGGTGTGCCTGTAGTCCCAGCTACTTGGAAGGATGAGGTGGAAGGATCGCCTGAACCCAACAGGTTGAGGCTGCGGTGGTCATGAGTGTGCCGGTGCACTCCAGCCTGGGTGACAGAGTAAGACTTCAACTCAAAAAAAAAAAAGTTATTTCAGTCCTGTGTGTGTAATGCTTTTAATTAAGCCAAATGCAAATTGTTTTGCTCATTGATTGGTTTTTCAATAAATGATTAAATACAAGAGTGATCTGAGGGTAATACTATTGGTTATTTGATGTGTTGGTCAATTACTCATTTTACTTAATTCAGGATAATTGGGCATGCAAGATATGTCAATTAGATTAATGGTCCTAGGCTGGGTGTGGTGGCTCATGCCTGTAATCCCAGCACTTTGGGAGGATGAAGAGGAAGGATTGCTTGAGCCCAGGAGTTCAAGACCCTCCTGGGCAATATAGCCAGACCTTGTCTTTACAAAAAAATAATAAAAATTAGCCAGTGTGGTGGCACATGTCTGTAGTCCCAGTTACTCAGGAGGCTGATACGGAAGGATCACCTGAGCCCAAGAGGTGGAGGCTGCCATGAGCTGTAATCAAGCCGCTGGATTCCAGCCTGGGCAACAGAGTAAGACCTTGCCCCAAACCAACAGCAACAACAACAAAATTACCAGTGGCCAGAACAACCATCAGAGATTTTTATTTAATTGAAGCCTAATAATCACATTTATTTTTTAGCTCCTTGTGTAATTTTGAAAGATAGTTAGGGTTCAGAGACAATGAGCTTATCCAAATGGCCCACCCCACTACTGGACAACAGCAAAAATTTTGTAAACAGTAAAAAATATTGTACCTAGTAGAAAAAAAGTAAAATTGTGTTACAAACTGATGCATTTTTTTATTTTTTATTTTTGAGTAGAAATCTCACTGTCACCCAGCCTGGAAGGCAGTGGCACGCTCCTAGCCACCGCAGCCTCTACCTGCTGGGCTCCGGCGATCCTGCTGCCTCAGCCTTCCAAGTAGCTGGAACTACAGGCACACGCCACCACGCCCAGTTAATTTTTTGATTTATTGTAGAGATGAGGTCTCACTGAATTGCCCAGGCTGGTTTTGAACCTGTAGGCTCAGGCAGTCCTCTCACCTTGGCCTCCCAATGTGCTGGGATTATAGGCGTGAGACACCTTACTCGACTTTTTTTTTTTTTTTTTTTTTTTTAAGCTGAACTGGTACTAGTCACACTAAATACAAACTTTGAAGTATTTCTTTTGATTCTGCATTTTTGTATTTTTGGATGCATCAAGAATATTATCCAGGCCGGGTGTGGTGGCTTATGCCTGTAATCCCAGCACTTTGGAGGCCAAGGCAGGAGAAACACTTGAGCCAGGAGTTTGAGACCAGTCTGGGAAACATAGCAAGACCTCACCTCTACATAAAATACAAAATGTAGCCGGACATGGTGGTGTGTACCTGTAGTCCCAGCTACTTGGAAGGCTGAGGCAGGAGGGTCACTTGAGTTCAGGAGGTTGAGGCTTCAGTGAGCCACGATTAAGCCACTGCACTCCAGCCTGGGTGACAGAGTGAGACACTATCTCAAAAAAAAAAAAAAAAAAATTAAAAATTTAAAAATCCATTGGAAATCGCAGTGAGAGAAAACCTCCTGCATAAACTCTTTCCTGTTATTCAAGATGAGTCAGAAGCTGTTATTATTCATAAATCTGGGTGCTTACAAATATGACCACTGAAAGAACTGGGAATGACAGCTTGAACCCCACTGCTCCCACTGGGAAGAGCAGTGAGATCTCCAGGGTGCTACGGACTCTAGCACAGAATTTCGAGAACCAGGCTTTCAGCTCTGTTCCTTTCAGCCAGGGGCTGCTCTGGAAGGACTGGGGACAGCAGGGAGTCACAGAGATATTCTGGACACAAAAGGGTGGCAGGCCTGAATAGGCCTTTTAAAACTTAAAAGAAACCAAGTTGGTACTAGAAAGTCTGGGAGGTTGCCATGTAGTAAGTAGGACTTAAAATCAGACACTTTCAGAAGGTCATTTCCCAACTTTTACAGCCATGAATGGATTCATGTATGGGAATCTGCCTGGTCTCCACATGTGCCAAGGAGACTCGGTCGTGTGGTATCTATTCAGCGCTGGAAATGAGGCCGATGTACATGGGATATACTTTTCAGGAAACACCTATCTGACGAGAGGAGAAAGGAGAGATACAGCAAACCTCTTCCCGCAAACAAGTCTTACACTCCTCATGCAGCCTGACACGGAAGGTATATTTCTTTAAAGCCAAGACAAGTCTCTGTTGGATCCATTTTTGTGGTTTTGGTTTAAAATCCTGGAGCAGAATGTGTTCGGTGATAAACTCATCCGTTCCCTAAGCCTTCCGAGAGCACCCCGCTTCCCTTGAGAGAGCAAGTCTGATAAGGCCTATTTCCTACTTCTTAGGGAAGATGACATTAAGAAAAGACCAGGCTGTTGTTTCCTTGACATAGAATCCTCAAGACAATCCCCTTTTAAATTATGATCCTTTTACCAGGCTTGGGGGCTCACACCTGTAATTCCTACACTTTGAAGGCTGAGGTGAGAGAAGTGCTTTGAGCCCAGGGGTTTGAGATCAGCCTGGACGATGTAGCGAGACCCCCATTTCTACAAAAATAAAAAATAAAAAAGTTAGCCAGGTGTGGTGGCTAATAGTAGTTCCAGCTACCCATGAGGCTGGTGGAGGGAAGGATTGCCTGAGCCCAGGACGTCAAGGATGAGTTGAGCCATGATTGTGACACTGCACTCTAGCCTGGATGACAGAGTGAGACCTCGACTCTAAATAAATAAACGTCCTCTCAAAGATAGCTGGAAAATCAGACTATCAGAGAAATGACACCCGTAAAGGCTCAGCACCCACACTTTTTATGATGTCTTTGCAGCCTAGATGTAGTGTTGGCTTATGGGCGGCTTGCAATCGAATATTCTACTCTAGAACTATAGCCATGCAAATCCAGAGACACCTACAGGTCTGGCTCTGAAAGAGTAAAATGCACTGAAACATAAAAGGAAGATTTGTAATCAAAATGTGGCAATATGCTAAGTTGTTTCAGGCTGGACTTGGTGCATTATTACTTAAGACACAACCAGTGTCATCCTTTCCTTCTTTCAACAAATGTAGATACAACAACAAACAAAAGAGATAAGGTGTCTCATGGTGATGACATTCTAATGGAGGGAGACAGACAATAGGCGAGTGTATTAATATACATCTGTCAAGTGACTATAAGCACACAAAGAAAAACAGCTGGGGAAGGAGATGGTGACTGATGGGGAGGGGTCAAGATTCTTTTAGGAGGTGCTAATTAAGGAGAGATCTGAAAAAGTAGGGCCCCGAGCCAGGAGGATGTTTTGGGGAAGTGTTCCAGGCAGAAAAACAGCAAGCACAAAAAAAGGTCCTGGGGCGGGCACACACTTGACCTGTTCTAAGAACAGCAAAGAGGCCCATGTGGCTGGAGCAGAGAGAGCAGTAGGTGATGCAATCAGAGGATTGGGAAGTCGGATCATCTGAGGCCACAGGAAGGGCTTTGGTATTGATTCTGACAGAGGTGGGGAGTCACAGAGGGCATGGAGCAAAGAAGTGATTGTTTTCTTATTTGCCACTCCAGGGACTTTTGATGTCGAGTGCCTTACGACTGATCACTACCTAGGTGGCATGAAGCAAAAATACACTGTGAGCCAATGCAGGCAGTCATCTGAGGATACCACCTACTACCTGGGTGCAAGGACCTACCACATCGCAGCGGTGGAGGTGGAATGGGATTATTCCCCAAGCAGGGAGTGGGAAAAGGAGCTACATCGCTTACAGGAGCAAAAGTAATTCTCCAGACCGTTTCCCAATCTGTTCAGCTGTCATTTTAGGTTTCCCTATCAGAGATATAAGAATCATGCTTAATTTTAGAAAAACACATTTATTAAATAATATGCCAAGAAGGAAGAGACAAGCTGCTGATGGTTAAAAAGGTTTACGAAAGAAAAGAAGAGGGGGTGGCTGGCTCTACAGAGAGAAAACAGCAGCCTTTGTTCTCTTGCAGGCCACTTATATACCCCAGTTCAGGTTAATTGGTCGCCGAGAAGCAGTTTAGGGAATTTGAGCTGTTGCCTGGCCTTGAAATGCAGATGTCGGCATTGTTGAGGCTGGAACCATGGCCTTGAAGTGCAGATGTCCGCACTAAACCAGTCACTGTCAGGGATGTTGTTAATCACTTGTCTCTGACACTGATAGTCAGTACGTTATCAGTCACATAGCTTTGGGATGTGGTCTCGGAAGCAGATACTGTCAGATTTTAAAATGCCATAATTAATTGTTTTAATTAGTAACAGGATGCCGTTAGAGCACAGTGTTAGCTTTATGGGCCATTGCAACTCTTTGCTCTGTTTGCAAGGTTTATAGGATGAGTTGTTTTAACTACAACCTCCTCTCCCATCCCCTTACAAACCCTACTGACAACAGAATCCTTCCTAGGAACTCATCCTCAGTCATTTTTGCTTTTCCCAATTTCCTTAAAGGATCATTTCCATTTATCTTCTTTGATTCTTTGGCGTTATTCATCTTTTTCTTTTCTGTTGGACCATATTCTCATATTTATATGCCCTTATTTTTTTTTTTTTAATTTATAATTTTTTTTTACTTGGAGTTTCACTCTGTTGCCCAGGCTGGAGTGCGGTGGCATGATCACAGCTCATGGCAGCCTCAACCTCCTGGGCCCAGACGATCCTTCTGTCTCAGCCTTCCAAGTAGCTAGAACTATAGGCACGTGCTACTACACCCAGCCTTTGGTTTATTGTGGAGATGAGGTCTCGCCAAGTTGCCCAGGCTAGTCTCAAACCCGCAGGCTCAGGCAATCCACTCACCTCAGCCTCCCAAAGTACTGGGATTACAGGCTGAACCACCAAGCCTGACTAATGTGCCCTCACCTTGTCCAAATTCAGAGCCGAAATATTTCTCTCACCAAGTATTTGCTGCATATCTTATTTTTCCTCCAAAGATCTCAGTATTAGTCTAACAGTCATTTCACTTTCATTTTTAAGGGGGAGGTCTCACTCTGTTCCATGATCACAGCTCATGGCAGCCTCAACCTCCTGGGCTCAGACGATCCTTCCGTCTCAGCCTCCCGAGTAGCTGGGACCACAAGCATGCACAACCATGCCTGCTTATTTTTTTATTTTTGTAGAGATAAGGTCTTGCTATGTTGCCTAGGCTGGTCTTGAACTCCTGGGTTCAATCGCCCCGCCTTGACCAAAGTGCTGGGATTACAGGCATAAGCCTCAGCGCCTGGCCTACTTCACATTCTTAAAACTGTTACATATGGAATATTCTAAATGCCTGATGACAATATAGCACATGTGGTCTCTGCCCTCCAAAAACTTATAGGAAAATATGGCTCAAAACCACCAATAACATGTGCATTATGGAAAAGTAAAAGAAAAAAAAATTCTGTATGAATAAGTGTAAGTAAAGGATGGTTATTGGGACTTCAGAAACATTAGAGTAGCATCACCTGACACTTCTAGTTTGCCCTTTTCTACTTTTCTAAGCACTTTCCCATCCACCTTCTTACCTATATCACACTCTGACCCTGCATGGACATGGCCTGAGGGATGGGATAGGCAGGTATTCAGATCCAGGGTACATGGCTCAGCTGGTGGCCTGTAGCTGGGCAGTGGCTAGTAGGTTAGTTCAACAGTGATGGTGAGTATGGTTTGTGGGGTAAAGGAGTAACTATTTATTTTGTAATTGGGGTAACAGTTAAAAGGTTACAGCAGTCATTAGGAGTCAAAAAACTTCAGGAAAGGGGAATGGTTGGAAAAATATGGTCATTTCCATTCCTATAGATCAGAACTACCAGACTTACAACATTTTGGAGCTATAAAGAAAACTTAGAGATGATCTGATTGGAGACCTCATTTTAGGGGTGAAGAAATTGAGGCTCCAATAGGCAATGAATCCCTGGAGGTCATTTTACCTAGTGACAAGGTCAAGGCCAGGACTCAAATGGCTCCACTTGATGGCAAGGTGTGCTTTCTGCCACACATGTTCTCAAAGTCTTATTCTTTCTTACTGGGATAGGAGAGTGGCGATTTTAAAATGCCATAATTAACTAAAAAAATTATTTGTATTCAAAATTTAAAATTGAAAAGTTAACTTCAATTTTCATGAAGACAAATACTAACCTTAGTTGGTTTCTTTTTAAGTGTTTCAAATGCATTTTTGGATAAGGGAGAGTTTTACATAGGCTCAAAGTACAAGAAAGTTGTGTATCGGCAATATACTGACAGCACGTTCAGCGTTCCAGTGGAGAGGAAACCTGAAGATGAACACCTGGGAATTCTAGGTGCGTGGAGGGCTCCAATTCATCAGGTGTGGGTTAGTGATTGATGCTGACCCATGGCCTTGGGTTTCATTTTCTCAGTTCATGTATCAAAGTTATTGAAACAAAAATATAAAAATCAGTTATTTAATAAAATAAGAAGCCTATATTTACTGAGGAATATGGCATAGTAAAATATTACTTATTTCTTTTGAAAACAATGTCTTATCTCATATATTGATGAAGTTATATATATATATTTGGTTTGTATCCAATTGATGCCTGTTGTTTTAGTGGAGTTCCCCAAAACTAATCTTTAATGAAATTCTCCCCATTATCCCACCCACACCCCCACATTATAGTTATTTGCTTTTAAAATTAAGATGTGATTAATTATAAGAGGAAATTAATTACAAAAGGAAATAAGGAAAGGAAAAAAGTGGTACCATATACAATGCAGGAGAAAATTTGCCCTCCATATTTCAAAAATCACTTTAAGATAGAATACCTAAGAACTTGACCAACACTGATCTTGAGAATTTTCTTGAAAACCATTAAGTGTAGGAACTGCTGCCCCCGATGCCACTGTTTCCACACTGTCAGTGTCTCCTGGGGCTTGGTTATTCTCAACCCCTAGCCTAAGACACCACAGGAAAATGGTGTTGTTGATCACAGAAACTCTACCAGCAGGACACAAGCTAAGACTGGCTAGAGCAGGGGTCCCCACGGTACCCGTCTATGGCCTGTTCAAACCAGGGCGCACCGCAGGAGGTGAGCAGTGATGAGTGGAGCTCCGCTTTCTGCCAGATCTGCCGCCGCATTAGATGCTCATAGGAGGGAGAACCCTACTGTGATCTGTGCATGTAAGGGATCTCAGTCGTGTGCTCCTTACTAGAATCTAATGCCTGATGAACCTCTCCATCAATCTGTGGGAAAATTGCCTTCTACATAACTGGTCCCTGATGCTAAAAAGGCTGGGGAACTCTGAGCTAGAGGGTAGAAATGGGAGGGATGGCCCCACCCTTCCAAACATGGTACTGCCCTAAATTAATATTCAAGAAGTTCTGGAAGTCCAAATGCTGAGAGATGACTCTCGCCTGGCCAGACATCCAACTCACCATGGTTAGGCCAGTAAACCTGCAGGGTTCTCTCAGGCCACACCTCCCCTAGAACTCTTATGAGAGGCACCACAGTCTCCATCTTCAGAGGCAGCCATTTCTAGCGTTTTGATCCTGAATCTCCTGGGACCCAATATAAAGCCAAGAGTCTTACGGCACAAAGCCTCAGGAAAGAAAACAAGTTACCCGATCTCTGCTTTATTATCAAGTTAAAACTTTCGATGTGACAGGTATACAAGCCACTCTTCCTTTTCCTTCTTGCCAGGTCCACAGCTTCATGCAGATGTCGGAGATGAAGTCACAATAGTGTTTAAAAACATGGCCACAAGGCCCTATTCAATACATGCCCATGGGGTGAAAACAGACAGTTCCACAGTTACTCCAACCTTACCAGGTACTCATGATTGGCGGAGGGGGAATGCCTTTTGACAGACTTTACAGCCTTTCCACAAATGAGTATTATCATACAAGGATTCCTTCCAAGTCAGTGTGGCTTGAGGAAGCGGAGAGGGCATGGGTGGGTGGAGGGGTGCAGAGAGTTGTCTGTGGGTTTGCGTGTACACATTTGGCACATGTTCGTACCCTCTGCCCCGCTTGAAAAAAATACACAGGATATCTGTAAGGAAACAATCTGAAAGTAAATGAAAAACATCTAGAAATACTCAAGGTTGAGTCAGAGATGCTCTCTCCTCAGCTAGAACACATCTTAGACAGCATCTATTATACTGCCTGTAGCTGGCAAAATGTTTCAACACCTGTCTTCAGCAGGCAGGGTCCTAAGAGACAGGGGCTGCCACTTGGAATGTTATATTCCCGGTATCTAGTCCAGTATCTGGCATGTGGTAGGAGCTCATCAAGTGTTTCTTTCATTATCATAGAGCAAAAGCTTCAGTAGGTGATATACATAGGTGTGTATTTTCTTTAGTAAGAATTGTCGTCTTCTTCCATTAGTTGTAAAGTTGCCTTCCAGGAAAAAACCATTTCTCAATAACTTTGCAGCTCCGAATAGAACAAGTGAGAAAAAAAATATTGCTTTAGAGAGTTGCTCTTGTCAATTTAGGGAAATAAAAATAAAAATCCCTGCCTCTCACTTTCTCCAGAGGGAGATAAGCAAATATACACAGAATACCAAGTAGTAAAAACTGTCATGAAGAAGATTCAGCAAAAAGCAGTAGCTTTTTGTGGGTGCTATTTTAGGTGTGGCAGTCAGGAGGGCTTCTTTGAGGTGACATTGGTGAAGAAACCAAAGGTAATGAAGTTCAGGTAATTGGGAAGTAAGAAATTCTAGGCCCTCAAGATGGAAGCATGCTTGGTGTGTCTGAGAAACATCAGGGAGGCCAGAGGCCAGGGCAGATCCAACAAGGGACATAAAGTTAGATGAGATCCAGGGAGCAGGGCGGCGATGAAGTAGGGAGGATCTCACTCAGAGCCCATGATTAGGGCCCAAGATTTTATTCTACGCTAGGCATGGTGGCTCACACCTAATCCCAGCATTTTGGAAGGCTGAGATGAGAGGATTGCTTCAATCCAAGAGTTTGAGACTAGCCTGGGCAACATAATGAGAGCTCATCCCTACAAAATATTTAAAAATTAGCCAGGTGTGGTGGTGTGCATCCGTAGTCCCAGTTACTCAGAAGGCTGAGGTGGGGATCGTCTGAGCCCAGGAGGTGGAGGCTGCGGTGAGCTGTGATTGTCTCACTGCACTCCAGCCTAGGTGACAGAGTGAGCCCTCAACTCAAAAAAACAGAGATTTTATTCTAAAAACCCATGTGAGAGTTTCAACTGAAGACTCTGATGAACACTTTTTAAGGTGTTGAAGGTAGATGAAAAACATCTACAAATACTCAAAGTTGAGTCAGAGATGTTCACTCCTGGCTGATGTGTGGATAAGCGACCACAGAAGGGCAAGAGCAGCAGAGTCAGGATCCAGTTAGGGGACCACAGCAATAATCTGGGATTAAAAAAATATACATACATTGAGATTTAGAACAGGGTGGAAGCAGCAGATGTGGTGGGACATTATCATATTCTCGTTCTATTTTATTTTATTTTATTTTGAGTTGGAGTCTCACTCTGTCGCCCAGACTGGAGTGCAGTGGCCGCTCCCGGCCACTGCAGCCTCGACCTGCTGGGCTCCGGCGATCCTTCCGCCTCAGCCTTCCGAGTAGCCGGAATTACAGGCACACGCTACCACGCCCAGCTGATTTTTTGATTTTTTGTAGAGATGAGGTCTCGCTGCCCAGGTGGGTCTCGAACCCGCGGGCTCAGGCAATCCACTCACCTCAGCCTCCCAAAGGCGCAGGATTACAGGCTGAGCCACCAAGCCCGGCTTCGTTCTATTTTAGAAGCGGTGCTAAGAGAACTGGTTGAAAAATGGGCATTAGGGAGTGTTAGGAATGAGGAGTCAAGGATGATGCCAAGGTTTTGGGCACTGACCACTGGTGGGAGAGCAGGCTGGGAAGGGGAGTAGAAGAGAGGAAATGTTATTTTGCATCTTATGAGAATGAGTAAACATAGAGATAGCGAGACAATAACATATTCAAGTGGTGAATCAACACTTTATCTTCTGGTAAAATTCTCTGCTTAGAAAATGGGTGAGGACACAGGAACAGCTCAGGCTGAGGGCTTGAGGAAAAGATCTATCACATTCTTGAGACCATCGCTCACGTCTTTCTTGATTCTCTGGTAAAGGTTTGTCAGATTCTGGCAAGTTAAAGTCTGACAGCATGAATATGTAATGGTGAGGTCTACATAAATGGAGTGGACAGTGAGTGTGGTCAAGACTAGTGAGTGGGCATAGCCAACGTCAAGGTCTATGAGCAATTGCACAGGAAGCCCTGAGGTGACCAGAAACAGATATAAGGTGACAGAAGAGCCTGGAGCACATGGAAGGAGGACGACAAGGACCTTGGCAAGTAAGAGAGTAGAACAAGCAGCCATCTTCAAAGTGTCAAGGCCCAGGGTGTGGTTACATCCTGTACATGACAGGGTGGTAACAGAACAGTGTATGGCATGACAGAATGGGATGGACTGAAGAGATGGTAATGTCCTGGTTATGTCCAGTATGTGACAGAGTGCCACAGTCAACAGAGAAGGTAAACAGAATTGTGACAAGTTGGTGACCTATGAGACCAAAAGGTCTAATGGCTCCTCGCCTGGAATCGTGAGCTGAGGATGATGGTCAGAAAGGGGAAGGAAGGCCATAGTGAAACAGAGAGAATTACACAAGATAATCCAGATATACATATGCAGAGAGGATTATGGGGAAGGTGCTAGCCACTGGGAAAAATCTCTTGTTACTTGAAGAGAAAAAAGTATATGAGAGAAATATACAGAAAAGACAGGCGGCAAAATTTCTAATTTCTAAGAAAAGACAGGCGGCAAAATTTCTAATTTCTGAGAAAAGACAGGCGGCAAAATTTCTGCAAACTGTAATATTGGAATTGCTACCTCCTGGCTTTGTGGTATGGCAGGTGTGCTACAGCTAGTTAATTCATAACGGACCCCCTAAAATACATAAAAGTATGTCTTACACTTTGTCTTAAAAATAAATTCCTGGCCAGGCGTGGTGGCTCACGCCAGTAATCCCAGCATTTTGGGAGGTGGAGGCGAGAGGATTGCTTGAGCCCAGGAGTTTGAGGCCAGCCTGGGCAACTTGAGACTTCATCTCCACAATAAATTTAAAAATTAGCCGGGTGTGGTGGTATATGCCTGTGGTTCCAGCTACTTAGGAGGCTGAAGCAGGATTGCCTGAGCCCAGCAGGTCAAGACTACAATGGCGGTGAACATGCCACTGCACTCCAGCTTAGGTGACAGTGAAACTCTGACTCAAAAAAAAAAAAAAAAAAGTAAGTGCCTGAAAAGAATTTTGAGTACCACATTTTAAAAAATAAATTACCCTGAAATTTCCAGTTCCTACATCAATGGTTATCAAGGTTGTGTGTAAAATATATATATATATACATATATATATATGTATGTATATTAGAAACTAAATACAACCAGATACATTAACACTTGATTAATTTAGGTGAAACTCACACTTACATATGGAAAATCCCAGAAAGATCTGGAGCTGGAAAAGAGGATTCTGCTTGTATTCCATGGGCTTATTATTCAACTGTGGATCCAGTTAAGGTAAAATTTAAATCATTTATGTTTTGTGTCCATTCCCAAAATAGACACAACAACTGAAGGAAAATGAGGTTAGCATTATCCTGTGGTCCAATTCTACGTTAAAATCCCAGGAAAATATGCCACTTTGCAATCTACTTTAGCAAATGTGCCGCTGCCTATGACACAGAAGACAAAAACCTAAAATGATACATCTCAAAGGTCTTTCAAGAGCATATTAGGGAACTATCACAATTGGACATAGAATAGTAGCATATTTGCATATTAGACCAATCATCCTGGTGGAGTAAAGGAAGCCTTGGAGGGGGAAGAGAGTGGAGACTGGTTGGTCTTTGTAGAAGTTAATGCAAATTCCAAGGACCCCAACTATGAGGAAGGAGATAAATGGATTGAGTTCTAAGTAGGTGGGTGAATTCCTGGGGTGAACCATGGGGAGGTAGGAGCTTGACAATGTAGAGATCTGGCATGAACAAATGAGTAGATCAGGTCTGTGTGGTGTTATTACAACATTTCATTCATCTCTGGATTTTTAGGGACTGGCATAGTGCGTGGCTCATACTCAAGAGTTCATAGCTTACGGAATAAACAAACACTGTTCATCTGGGTTTTTTTTTTAATTGCTGCTCGTTAGCTGAGCCAGTTTTTGCATCTGCACACATCTCTGTTATCTTGGCATCACCCACATGACCTACCTACTACTCAGCATTGTTCCAATGTAACTACTTAAGTGAAAAGTTACTAGGCCGGGCACGGTGGCTCATGCCTATAATCCCAGCACTGTGGGAGACTGAGGTGAGAGAACTGCCTGAGCTCACGGGTTCGAGACCAACCTGGGCAACTTGGTGAGACCTCATCTCTACAATAAATCAAAAAATTAGCTGGGCATGTGGCACGTGCCTATAGTTCCAGCTCCTTGGAAGGCTGAGGCGGAAGGATCGCTTGAGCCCAGCAGGTCGAGGCTGCAGTGGCCATGAGCGTGCCACAGCACTCCAGCCTGGGCGATGGAGTGGGACTCTGACTCAAAAAAAAGAAAAGAAAAATTACTAACTGTCAGCCCTTCCAGAACTCCTTAGGCCATGGGCAAGGAGGTCTCACTTCTCTGAAATCCTGACTGACATCACAAGGGTGGCTGAAGCTTTTGCTCATTTCCAGGACCTCTACAGTGGATTGATTGGCCCGCTAATTGTTTGTCGAAGAAGTTACATCAAAGTTTTCAAGCCCCAAAAGACAGTGGAATTCTTCCTTCTGTTTCTAGTTTTTGATGAGAATGAATCTTGGTACTTAGATGACAACATCAAAACATACTCAGATCACCCTGAGAAAGTAAACAAAGACAGTGATGAATTCCAAGAGAGCAATAAAATGCACGGTATGGTCATTATTCTGAAGCCATTTTCTCCTTTTTTAACCTCCTTCTTCTTTCCAGTGAAACTGCTTTGGAGACTATTTGTTTCATTTTAAAATAAATCATTTTTGCCTCACTTTGCATGGGAAGTAGAATTTTGTTCACAATAAAAGAGGGACTTTGTTCAAGATCCTTTGTTAACTTCTCTCCCAACTATAAAATAGTTCCTTTTTAAATAAATACATGATTAGGATTAAGGGTTTTGATGCAAAGTGACAAGAAAAGCAGTGTGTGACATTGTTGACCTTAAAGTACCCATTTGCCCTATTCATAGTGAAATAAGTCTTGTTCAATAAAAATGCTCTGGTGTAGTCAATCACTCCAGTAATCCTAGTACTTTGGGAGGCAGAGACAAGAGGATTGCCTGTGCTCAGAGGTTTGAGACCAGCCTGGGCAACTTGGCAAGGCCTCATCTCTACAATAAGTTAAAAAATTAGCCCAGCATGATGGTGCATGCCTGTAATTCCAGCTACTTGAGTGACTGAAATGGAAGGATGGCCTGAGTCCAGTAAGTTTGAGACTGCAGTAGCTGTGATCGCACTACTGCACTCCAACTTGGGTGACAGAGTGAGACTCTGATCCAAAAAAAATTTTTAAGTAAAATGTAAAAATTAAAAATTAAACAAAATAGGCCAGGTGCGGTGGCTCAGCCTGTAATCCCAGCACTTTGGAAGGCCGAGACGAGAGGATTGCCTGAGCCCAGGGATTTGAGACCAGCCTGGGCAACTTGGTGAGACCTCATCTCTACAATAAATCACAACAAAAATTAGCCGGGCGTGGTAGCGCATGCCTATGGTTCCAGTTACTTGGAAGACTGAGGCAGAAGGATTGCCTAAGCCCAGCAGGTCAAGGCTGCAGTGGCCGTGAGCGTGCCACTGCACTCCAGCCTGGGCGACGGAGTGAGACTCCAACTAAAAAAAAAAAATACCAACATAAAACAGATCCCTTATATTAACCTAAAATCATATTTTCTGTGAAACAGCCTTTGGTTTAAGATATTCTGAAAAGTAATATGAAATCCTGTGCTTTCCCCAGCTATTAATGGAAGAATGTTTGGAAATCTAAAAGGCCTCACAATGCACATGGGAGATGAAGTCAATTGGTATCTGCTGGGAATGGGCAATGAAATAGACTTGCACACTGTACATTTTCATGGCCACAGCTTCCGATATAAGGTAAGAGCCGCCCATGGCAGTTACTCTTGCTCTATTTGAAACATTTTTTAATACAAATGAAGAAAATATTTCCTCAGAGAGATTTATAAAAAAATTGAAAGTTGCAAAGAGTACAGTTGGCCTTCCATATCTGTGAGTTCTCCATCTGTAATTCAACCAACCATGGATTGAAAATATTCACGAAACAGTAACCCTTTTGGGTCCCGACCTCCCACTGTGAGAGCTTTTCTGTCCTCTCAATAAATCCTGCTTTAAAAAAGAAAAGAAAATATTCAGGGGAAAAAAAAAACTACAAAGTTCCAAATATACAAAACTTGAATTTGCTGCACTGAGTACTATATTGAATCCATACAAATAAAGTGGCATGGAGGCATTGTGTCAGATAAGTAATCTAGAGATGATTTAAAGTATCCAAGAAGATGTGCACAGATTATATGCAAATACCATACCATTTTATAAAAAGACCTGAGCTTCCCTGGAGTTTGGTATCCTGGGTGGGGGTGCAGGAATCCCCACATATTCTAATCATGACTATATAGAGTAGCGGTCCCCAACCTTTTTGGCATCAGGGACTGGCTCTGTGGAAGACAATTCTTCCATGCACAAGGGCAGGGGGAGGGAGATCATCAGGCATTAGATTCACATAAGGAGTTTGCAACCTAGATTCTTCGCATGCTCATAGTAGTATCCATGCTCCTATGAGAAGCTAATGCTGCGGCTGATCTGACAAGAGGTAGAGTTCAGCTCACCCACTGCTCACTTCCTTCTGGGCCACCCAGTTCCTAACAGGCCACAAGCCGGTCCCCACCTGGGAGTTGGGGACCCCTGGTACAGGGCACATCCATTTCAATAGGCATACCAGCCTTTGACTACATCTTGGGTTCCTCTTTGAATCTGCACTTTTTACTTAATTTTTGTGACATTCTGCTCACATTCCTGAGTGCAACATTTGAGTGGAATTGCTAGCAGACAGGGTGGGAGTGTTCATAGAATGATGGATCAGAGAGACCAGTACAAGACTTTTGTGTAATCTTTGCCCTGCCTGTTCTAAGTTATGTATTTTTAAATGGCTTGAGGTAAGCAAGAGAAGCCATGATTAAGATTAAGGCTTTTGGTGCAAAGTGACTAGAAAAGCAGTAAGTGACATTATTGACCTTAAAGTATCCATTTCCCCCATTTGTGGTGAAATAAGTCCTATTATTAGGTGACAAGAAACTAACTGGTGGTCCATAGGTCTCAATCCTACTTCTATCCCTAACCCAGTGCTGATTTCAGTAAAAGCCAATGGCCCTTCTGGAAATGCTTTCTTCTTGACTTTCTGTTAATGCAGAAAATACAAAAGTTAACAAAAAGCACACTTGCAGAAAGCCTGTTTCATTATCTACATTTTGTTTTACATAGATATAGTATATTCCTAGAGGACTCTGAACTGCCCCTGGTTTTTGGCTTCTCCATTGCCTCCTCTTCCGCTCCCTTTTTTACCATCCTTGCCCTAAAGTTTCACAGGCAAGTTAGTCTGGGACAGGTGCAGCCTAAAGTGAGGTTTGGGTTGAAATGGAGCCACAGCTAAGCTCCTTTGTGTAGCTCAAATGCTCTGACAAATGGCAACCCAGAGTCAGAGTGCAGGAGGCTGCCAGTGGCCTGATCGAAAAATTCACTCTTCACATCTTCTTTCCTCACAGCCATTGATGGCCTACTGTGAAGGGTTTAGGAACACAAGGACCGGCCGGGCTCGGTGGCTCAGCCTGTAATCCCAGCACTTTGGGAGGCCGAGGTGAGTGGATTGCCTGAGCCTGCGGGTTCGAGACCCGCCTGGGCAACTTGGCGAGACCTCATCTCTACAATAAAAATTTAAAAAATTAGCTGAGCGTGGTAGCGTGCGCCTGTAGTTCCAGCTACTTGGAAGGCTGAGGCAGAAGGATCGCCGGAGCCCAGCAGGTCGAGGCTGCGGTGGCCGGGAGTGGCCACTGCACTCCAGTCTGGGTGACAGTGAGACTCCAACTTAAAAAAAAAAAAAGGAATACAAGGACCATATATCTTACTGTTTGTATTAAACACAGAAATGGGCAGGGACTCCTTTTCCTTTTAGACGATTTACCCTGAGCTGCCCAATGATTGAGTAAACTCCCACATATAACATTATGTATTCATCATTTTTCTAATTAAGCACAGGGGTGTTTTAAGTTCTGATGTCTTTGACATATTCCCGGGGACATACCAAACCCTAGAAATGTTTCCAAGAATTCCTGGAATCTGGCTACTCCACTGCCATGTGACCGACCACATTCATGCTGGAATGGAAACGACTTACACCATCCTACCAAATAAAGGCGAGTATCCAGTTGGTCACTCTAGAATACAATTTAAGATGCACTACTTTGCCTAAATACTTCCCCCAATATGAAGCATTTGTGAATCTGCTGCCCTGATTTCTTCCTTCTCTACCTCCAAACAGGAATTTTTACTGCTGTGTGGGATACTGCTTGTTTTCTTACAGTCAGTACTTGAAACAGTACCAGCAGTTTCTAAGTTAATGTAAATCGACACCAATTTGGTGCAGTATAATTATACCTAAAGTTGATGTAAGGGAGTAGCTATTTGTGTTCATTATCGACGGAGAAACAAGCCATGACTTAGGAAAGACATGTTTAGAATTTCTTTCTTAACAGAAAACATTAACTTTTTCCTAGGTGGTACCTCATACATAAGAGAAGCCCAAGACAACTCCAAATAATATAATCTTAGTCAGGGAGAGCACTGTCTGTGCTTCCTGGGAAAGGGGAGATATTTACTAATGATTTTTGGTGAAAGACACGGAAGGAAACAAAATGTAAATGCCCTGCTCCCCGACCCCTGCAGTTACTGCCCCTCCCCACATAGATATGTGTGCTTGTGCATCACATACACACAATGCAGAAAAACAGTATTTTTGTGGACACACACCAACAAAACATATAAAGAGTGAAATTCCTTCATGGTGAGTGCAGACTGGTCTTTCCTGGGTCTTTTGAGTTGAGAATTGTTGGAAATGAAAAATGGCAAACCCAACAGAGGGAAATTATGTACAGAAAAGAACTCTATGTGTTTCCTCCTTGAAATGGAGAAAAAAGGGTAACATAAAAGTGGAAGAAAATATACAAATAATTTCAAGATTAAAAATCACCAAAAGATTAACAAACGAAAAGTTTTAACTTCTGCTTCTGGGTCTTCACAAACACCTTGTTTCAGGAAAAAGTACTCTTGCTAAGACTTTTTGTCATTACAGAGTGGTTACTGATAACCCCAGAACACCAAAGACTCGAACAGGCACATACACCACTGGGTTTAATGTCAGTAACTTGAATGAGATGAAAGAGCCCATCATGATGAGAAAGAGAACTTGAGTGTTTAGAGAACACTAGCTTGCATGTAAACCACTCAAAAGGATGGTCTTGCTCAGAAAAATAACCGAGAGGGGAGGGAACACTGATGCATTTGAAGAACTTATATACAACCGCCTGGCAGGCAGGGGGCGCCACAATAGGCGGATCCCAGGCTAGAGTGCAGCGGCATGATCATGGCTCGCCAGTCTCAACCTTCTGGGTTCTGGCGATCCTTCTGCCTCAGCCTCCTGAGTAGTTGGGCCTATAGGCATGCACCACCACACCTGGCTAACTTTTTTTCTGTAGGGACGAGACCTCGCTATGTTGCCCAGGCTGGTCTTGAACAACTGGCCTCAAGCAATCCTTTTATCTTGGCCTCCTAAAGTGCCAGGACTACAGATGTGAACCACCGCACTTAGCCCGGGAGATTGTTTTTAAAGTTGTAGGGAAAACCACTGCACAAATAGCAAACATAGAGGAAAACACACTAGAAAAAAAATTAAAGAGCAATTTGACTTTTACAAGAAGAAAAGGTAGTGTATAGGACTGAAAGAAGCATAACAAATAGAAGACAATTTGAATTATACACAGAAAAATGGGGAGACACATTTATCAATCTGAATTTTCTTTAAATAAAAATCTGATAAAGTTTTGGGCAAGTTTACATTAATGTTGAGTCTTGGAAAAATTTCTGCCTACCATGACACAGAAAAGAGAACACATGAGGTCCAAATGGAATTTTTCAATATTTTGTATCAGAAGAAAATTGTCTTCACAAAGAAAAAATAATAATTAGAAAATAATTACATACTTAACATAATAAGGCTTCATTTCCTCTACCAGAAGCAGCAGAGGAAGACTTCCTATGACAAACGTAAAGGTGCTTTTTTGGACTGGGACATTCCTCTGACAGTCACATAACCTTTTGGATATAGCTTGCTTAACTTGAAGTTCCTTCTATTCTGTATTTCTAGAAAAGTACCCGACTCTAAGTACCCAACTCTAACTCAAGTACTCTGCTTGGTGAATACCTAACAACATATTAATTCTATGAAGATGCAGTTTTAAAAGTATTTTTAGACATCATTTCAGATCCTTATATACCCTTCATTCAGATTCTCCAAATGTTAACATTTTATCACATTGGCTTTTCATCCTATCTTCCTTCTCTGCCCACATATACTCATAGACACACATGTATATGTATATATACCATTATTTCCTTAAAACAAGAATATTCTTATACACGGCCACAGTACAATTATCAAAATAAAAAAATTAACAATGACTAAAAACTAAAGATCTTTTTCAAATTTCACCCATTATCCTAATCATATTCTTTATATAAAAACAAAAGGTCAGGCACGGTGGCTCACGCCTGTAATCCCAGCACTTTGGGAGGTGGAGGTGAGAAGACTGTCTGAGTCCAGGGGTTCAAGATTAGCCTGGGCAACTTGGCGAGACCTCATCTCTATAGTAAACCAAAAAATCAGCCAGGCATGGTGGTGTGTGCCTGAAGTTCCAGCTACTTGGAAGGCTGAGGTGGAAGGATTACTTGAACCCAAGAGTTAGAGGCTAAAATGACCTGGAAGCATACCACTGCATGTCAGCTTGGTGAAAGAGTGAGACTCTAACTCCAAAAAAACCAAACCAAAAACCACAACAAAAAAAAACCCAAATCCCTGATCATGTGTTGCATCTTGGCCTGTCTTTTAACTCTTTACTCCGGACAGTTTCTTGGTCTCCTTTGTCTTTTACAACTTTTGCTTTTTTTAAACGAAAACTACAGAGAGAAGTCACTTTGTAGAATGCTGTTCAAGTTGAGTTTTTCTAATGTTTCCCCATGATTAGATTCAGGCTATGCATTTTTGGCAAGATTATCATGGAATGATGTTGTTTTTCTTAGCACACCATGTCAGAAGGCATAAGATTGTGATTTGTTTCATTACTGGTTAACATGGAGCATTTGGTTAAGGTGGTATCTGCTAGGTTTCTCAGCTGTAAAGTTATTTTTCCCTTTATCATTAATGAGGTTCTTAAAGGGAAGAAAGTAATTTTTCTTTAAATGGGCAGTACTGGAAATGAGATTTCTAAACATACGAAAAGTAGAAAAATATAAGTGAATAAAAAATAATTAGAGTCATATTTTAAAAACTCAGAATACATTTAAAACACCATTTACTAATTATTTTAACAATATAATATATACTATTTTTAACAATGGTCTTAAAATTTCTTTTTCTATAGAGACCAAGTCTGGCTGAAAGAAATAAATTGGTGATAAATGGAAAAAAAAAAGGAAAGACCGATCATTTGTAACAATATATGTGAAAGTGTTGAGTAGAATGTTTACTTTGGAATGATGATAAATATTAAAAAAGACAAAAACATAAAACTTGATGCATTTGTGGGAGAAACTGTTATCTGGTCGCAGATGAAAAGATCAACAATTATGATACATGATTGACACTTGTATAGTAGGTAACAGAATTGATTCATACAGGCCACTCACACCATCACCATTAGGGTTTCATAAAGTTGCATTAAAAAAAGAGACCCATCACCAAATGGGTTCTCCTGCATGGTCTCAGAGAACCACTGTTAAAGCTCATGGAGATGTTTCCAATCATTGCCTTCCCATCAATCCATCTCACATGTTGCTGACATCATTCCTAATACTGAGTGGGCATGCAGGCAGGGTACAAGGTATGGAGGAAGAAAATAAAAGTAATATTAATGCCAATCTGAGTTTGTGAACCCTAGAAGAAATGGTCGAAAGAATGTTATCTGGAACTGAAGAAACAATGTTATCTGGAACTGAGAAACAATGCTACAGATTAAGCCCTGGTCAGGATAAAAATAGCCACCAGGAGAAAAGCTTCAAAATACAGATGTGGCAGACTCCAGGTGAACAGAATTTTTGCTCAGTCTCAATTGGATTCAAAGGGAACTATCAATGAGCTGTACTTGGATTCAAAATTCTTTAACAAGAGGATAAGAAAGTAGACACAGTTGTGAATATAATGATATACTTATTGTCATATACACTATAGCTAGAAGAGCAACAGTACATATCAACAAAAATGGAAAGAAGGCTTTGGCTGAAAAAACATGCATTCAACAAATCATATTAATAGCCAGACAAGAAGAAAGTTTTCTTTGTAAACATCTACTTCAATTGATTCAAAAGAAAACACAGCATGAGTTGTTTTTTGTTTGTTTTAATTTATTTAATAGAGATGAGATCCCACCATGTCACCCAGGCTGCTCTTAACTCCTAGCCTCAAGTGATCGTCCCACCTCAGCCTCCCAAAACGCCAGATTATAGGTGTGAGCTACCATGCCCAGTCAAGTTTTCTTAAAGTGACAAAAAAATAAGGTTTGAATTTTTTTTTTCTGTGGCAAAACACGAGCATCTTTCTCAAAGAAAAACTTTAAAAACAGATCCAACAGAGAAATCTGGAAAAACCAAGAAGATAAAATGCCAGACCACTTAGAGTGACATGCTTTCAGCATAGTTGCAAAATGTTTCTTTAAGGTATTCCTAGGATGAAAAAGATTGTCATGTCTCTAACAAGAGTGAATTGATGTTGCTTGGAATAAGTCTTCACCTTTAAAGATATATGGCTTCTTTGAGAAATTCTTATGTCTTCAAGATTTTCTTACATTCTGAACAATAAATGGATTCAGGTCATAAATTAAGAAACTAACAGTTACCCCTATATGGTAAGGTAAACAGCCTGAAAGCATCTGCATACATACAAACATACATATATATAAAATGAAAAATCTTTTACATTTATTTTTATTTGGCATTCAGTTTTTAGATGTTCAGTATCAAATACCATTATGGTATTTTTCAAATAATACCTTCAAGTCAACGATTTCTTTCGACTGCAGTAAAGAAGATAAGGCAAGAAAAATGCTGCAGTGCCATCTTCTGGGAGAACATTCAAGAAATCCTTCAG